ATTTTATTTTCACTGAAAAAACTCTTCATATCCTGATGATGTGACATTAGCACTGTACTGTGCCAGACAAACGTGTTTACTTACAACTGCAGAACAGGATTAGTAGACCAGGGTGTCTCTGCAGTTCTACAGCAACTTCATTATAATGTCACATTTTACCTTCTTTAAACACATTGCAGCTTATGCTTTTTGCATATTGCAATTTGGATGGGTAGATGGCTTATTTGAACAAACATGACAGGCTAATAGAATAAACTGAGGCCTGGAGTCGTGAATTAGTTTGACTTTAGTCATTTTTACACGAATCCTCTCCTCTGGTCAACGATGTGTTTGAACCTGCCTCGTACGTTGACGTACTTTTCCAAACAAGGCCGTGTTGATAATTGAGTGAGTGTGACGTTCTCTTCAAATGCGAGAATGAAATATAAAGAGAAGTAGAAAATAACAGACAGACACACGGTGTAACAGAACAAGCCTTAACTTGGATAGATAATTAGCTGTCGATAAACGTTAGGCTAGCTAACCGCTAGTTCTACGCAGGTGACAGTTGTTAGCTTATTAAATGCGCTAACGTTACACACCATTTTAAATTAGCATCTGCAGCTAACGTTAGCAAGGTTATCTTTCCATTAGACTACTTGGCTATTTCAGTGAGAACACTAATCACAAATTGCCCTTAGATGCGTAACTTTTATGCTAACAGTTAATTATGGCAATATTTCTCGTACGACAGCTGCTGTTACAGCTAACATTAGCATTTGCCGCTACCGCTAACTGGGCTAGCTCCGAGTCCGGCAAGCTGCCTGTAACGTTAGTTACCTGTTTTGCGCAGCTAGCTCGACAGCAGCAACAACAACAACGCCGACTTCCCCGCGGTTTCTTTATGTCTTAATTTTCACCTGCGACGGAGCAATTTCTGTTTGAATGCTGAATTACATTCAGTGGGATTCCCGACTGCACTGTCTTTAGCGTTACTCCATTTTGGACCCTACAGCTCGTTGGCACAGGATGCTGCTTCTTGCCGAATCACTCTCAGAGTGGTGTTACAGATTTTCTGGTATATTAATTATATGGTGGCAATATGCGCGCGCACAAAGTTGCCTACCACATTAACGATGAAAAAAAAACGGTGGAAAATTGAGCTGTATATTTATAACCTTGTTATTACATTATTAAGCAATTTAGTACTTAAAATCTTTGTCAATCCCTTCAAATAGGCGAGCATGTACTGTACTGTCTATCTTGTTGTATCCTGTTGCAGCTGATGAACTTTGTGTAAAGGCTGGTATCGTTAGTTAGTAAGATGCAGTAACGTTAGATTAGTTAGACAGATTCTCAGCTTCCTTGTCTCCATGGTAACCTCAGCCTCACGAACGTGCACCAGATAATTTGCCCCAGATAAGAGGCATCCTGTCTATTATTACAGCTGGGAGCACAGCAGTCAGTTTCCAGCCCTAATACAGGGGTTCCCAAAGTTCTTTATACAAGGACCCCCATAACAGATTAGACCACAGACCAGAGGATTCAGAGAGTTTTGTGTTAAGGAATCTCTGCTGAGTATTGTTTTATTGTTATTGTTATTGTTAAAAATAAAAAAATCCTCATAGTCAATCAATAATCAACCTAGGATCATTATAAATTATAATAAACAAAAACAGCCAAATAAAATTTCAAATATTCTATTCCATCTTTAGCTGGGGACCCCCTACAACCCACTTAAGGCCCCCATTTGAAAACCCCTGCCCTAACACACCCACTCACTGTACATATGGATAACGTGAGGGATTCAATGTCAATGTCGTGTTTTTGAAAGAAGATTCAAGAGATCCCATCATTTTAAGAATACTTTATTACATCAGCGTCTGTGAGAAGTTACACCTCCTTCTCTTATTAAACAGGTTAAATCACTACAGTTACATTTAAAATCAGTATGTACAATGATATTAACACACACAATAAGAAAAAACTGCTCCTTGCAGAGCCTGCTCTACATTGCCAAATTTATACAGCCTAATAACAGTTACAGTTTTCCCTCAGATGGCTCGTCTTCATCCGCCACCGAGCTTTCGCCATCATCTCCTCTGAACTGACAGTGTACGACAGAACAAACCATCTGTTCTCAGGAGTCATTAGTTGCTTGTGTGTGTTAGGTAATGTAGTGATAATCCTATGGGCTACAATCTGACACTGCCGAGCGTGGACCTGGGCATGGCACAACTGACACACATCAACACTCCTCAAGGGGAGGGGGGGCCATGGGCAGCATGAGACTTTTGAAAAGGTCACTGGGCTAGGGCTGAACATCATTACTTTTTAAGTGTCTGTAGCACATTCTCACTCTTGACTTCCTTATAGATATAATGTGCTAGGGATTTTTTTTTGGAAAAACTTGTATATATTCTGCAAAGTAAGGTACTGAACAACCTCATTATTCTGGTACTGAAGCTATTGGTAGTGACACTGTGTCAAAGTCTGTTTCCCTGTCCAGGGTATCTGCTATCTCTGCAGTGCCTAAACATATCTTAAATGTAAAAGCTCCCCTCCAGTTGAAAATTGTCTCTTTGTCCCTACAGTGTGCTGTTTGAATGCTGTCTGTGCAGAGTTTGACTCTAGAAGGATGTTTTTTAAGAGTCTAACGATTTGTGACATCACAAATAGTTAGGAAGTCAGTCCTGGTCCAGTATCAACTTGTACAGTGTGATGTAGAAACTTGAAGCCACCA